AAAGAAAGAAAGAAAGAAAGAAAAGGAAAAGAAAAGAGTTTAGTAATATGCTAACTAGTATTTCGGAGTTTGCTTTCAAAGGGCTCCAATTTCCAATGGTCTGAGGTCATAGTGCCCCTTCATTCCCTAAAGGCAGAAGTCTAGGTGTTACTGAAAATCCCAAGAAGTCAGCATCCTACAGATAGCCACAGTCGGTCTACCCAGCTGAGGGGCTCCTGACAACTCACTCAGCAGTTAACCTCACAGGAGTTAAGCTATAGGTTTATTACACTTAGGGTAAAGAGACACCCCCACCAGAGGCCTATGCCTCCAGGGTTCATGACCTTCAGGGAAACTAGAGGAGCAGGGAACTTGTGAGCCCTTAAAAGACCTAAAGTTACTTTTGCACAGAAAGCGGTAAGTAACCTAAAGTTATATATCCTAAGTTGTGCAACCTAACCCTTTCCCCTCCTCCTCCTCTTCCTTTGATCCACCTAAAATAAAGACACAAGGACCTGGTTAGCCCCACCCCCAGAAGTTCCTGCCAAGGAACCTAACTTTCCAGGCAAGCTGTGAAATTTGCTCACCCTCTATGGCCCCATATAAAAGGGGTCTCTAACTGCCCCAAGGCTAGGGCTAGAGTGACCAGATTTTAACATTGGTAAGGCAGGACAACATGGGGGGTTGGGGCAGAGGGCGGGGCAGGGCAGGGCTTGACAACAATGCAAACTTTGATAAGCAGTTCTCGATAAACACTAATCTAATCGCTTCTCAGCAATTATTTGTTATTATTACAGTTTAACATTATAAAATTAACAAAAATAATATAAAACTCATATTCTGGCGAAATAGCCACATGGCAGCAGGAAACCATATATTCCCATCCTGTTCTCCCGGTAGTTCGTACATTCTTTCCAAAAATTGGGACTTTTTTAAAATGCCATGGGACAAATTGTTCAAAAGCGGGACTGTCCCGCCAAAAGCGGGATGTCTGGTCACCCTACCCAAGGCGCAGACTTCACCTTTGCACTGCCCAGGCAGCTCACCCTCCATTTCAATAAACCTGACCTGAACTTTCCATTCTGAACACCCATCTGGGCACCACCTCTTACACCTTTAACCTACCCTATGTACCTTGGGGATGATTGTTTGCCTGGTGAAACAACCCTTTAGTTGGGATTTCTCAAATTATCACCTGTGTTGCTAATGCCATTGTCTTTTCAACACCACTCTTCTTAGATTATTTAATCAGCAAAAGACTTTTCAAAACAACTAAGAGTAAATTATAAATGTCTTACCACAAAAAATAAGTGAGATGATGGTTATGTTAATCAGTTTGATTTAAGCATTCCACGTTGTATATGAAATCATCACATTGTACCCCATAAATGTATACAGTTATGATTTAATAAAAAATTAAATTAAAAAATATTAAACCCCTCAGATAAGGACCCTGGGACCACTCTCTGTGCCATAATATACCGGTAGAGATGGATTCCCAAAGTGTGGAAGAACTAGCAGCCTATCAGCTCCCATGAAGGCAGGATCAACTCCCTTGTACAGTCCCGTTGGTTTAAAAATGTGACCTTAATGTTACCTAAAAATGGCTCTATATGCCTTCAAACAAGAGTAGGAACTGTTTGTTCCCTTCTTGGATGTATTTTTGTCTGTGGAGGCAAGAAAGGAATTCCTTGGGCTTATGATTGTTTAAACAACTGGTCAATGGGTGGCACCCATACCCATCTGGGTCCATAACAGATCTTCACAGACCCCATCTGGGAAACCCCAACACAGTCTCTCCCAGTATGAATCCCAGAAGGACATGATTGCTTCTTTGGGTAACCACACCAACTTGGTGAGGAGGGACAGTTCACCTAAATGTGCTCTACAGCCAACCTGTGACCTTCATTGGCACTGCTAATGAAGCTGCATCAGCAACAGGTGCTCAACAAAAATCCCTGGCCTCTTTAGCTCAAGTAGTTCTCGATAATCACGTCTGCAGAGTAGCTAGGACCATAAGCATGGGCCACAAGACTCAGCTAATATTATTTATTTTTCATAGAAACAGTGCCTCACTATACTCCCCTGGGCTCAAGCAATCATTATTTCTGGATATACTTGTGGATAATGCCTACATTATTTCTGTAGCATTCTATACGTTTGAAACCCTACAAACATTTAAAACAGTCTGGGATGCAGTGACATACCTAGAGATGCCATGGTGATTTTTAACTAAGGAGTAGTCCAAGATACAAAGATTCCATAACTCAAGGCTCCAGAATGAAATAAAAGGTTTTGTGCAATGGCGCCCAGGCATGAACACGCACGGGGACAGGAGAACAAAAACAAGCATCCAGGATGGAGTACATAGGATTCTTATCAATTCTGATATGAGGACTATGAAGGTCCTAGTACACAGTGAGGGATGGTGGGTGGGGAGAGATGAGAAAAGGGGGCTGGGGATCAAAGGGTATGGTACATCTTTTGTAGGTGGGACACAAATATAAGAAGATCCTTATCTAAGAAAAGCAATCAGTGTAACCTGGTTCTGTGTACCCTCAATTAATCCCCAGCAATAAAAAGAAAAAGAAGAAGAAGAAGAACAAGCATCCATATAAGATCCAGAACTATCTTAGACATTATTCCCAGGGGAATAGCTCTGGAGGAAGATCTGCCATCTTCTCCTGGAATAGTTTATCAAAGGCTTCAGCTTGGGCCACCATGAAGTAGTTTTTCCAGTCCCCAGTTATGCCTGGAAAACATGAAACAGATGCTCAGATCAGGTGGTGGGGACAGACCCCAACATGTCTCCCTCTTGGTCTGTTCCTACCATCCACCATCATGGATATTGCGGTTAACATAGCAAATGATCAGAGGGCCATTGGTGGGACCTTGTGCCACCTGGCACCATACCTTTTCACACTCCTGCCTGCCTGGAGATGACTTCTCACCTTCTCCTTTCCCCCAGCCTCCCACTATGCACAGTCCCTCCACAGTCATGCCCACAATGTCTGCCATCATACCCAGAATCAAGCCACTTCCCACCATGCCTGTGTCAACCACACCGACCCAAGCCAATAGCATTTCTCTCCTACATTATTATGTGACAGACTGTAAGCAGTGTCTCTGCTTGGGATTGTTCTCCTGTGTAATTTAGTCGTAGATGGCAGCCCTCTTGATCCCTTCAGAAGGGAAGATGCATCCTGCTCCTTTTCTGTTGAAGTTCAAGGACTCTTGGTTTCATTGAGACAAGTGTGTCAGGCACTTGTAAGGCTCCCAGTGACCTGTGTCCCTGTGGCTTCTCTGACTCCATCCCCTGTGACGACCCATTTGTTCACTGTGCTCCATCACACTGGGACTTGTGATTCTGCCTCACAGGTGGCAGGTGTCCCCACTGCTCAGGTTATGTGCATTTGCCGTGTCCTCTCTGCAATGCTGTTCTCCCAGTTGTATCTGTGTCCTGCCTCTTTGCCTTTTCCAGTCTTTGTTCCAGGCAGTCTTCTTAGTGATGTTCTCTCACCGCCCAGTTTAGAACTACCAGGCCCCATCCTGCTGTATTTTCCTTCATAACGTTTCCCTATAGGATGGGCTTTATGTATTTCCCTTTTGTGGTTGTGTGTATAGCATATATACCTAATATAAAATATATAAGTTTTATAAAGTCTCAACTTTTTATTAACTGACAAGGACTTAGTGTTTCAAAGATGGACAGACATAGAGTAAGTACTATATAAATATTTGTCAAAAGAATGAATAATGGAATAAAAAACAAAGGTCAGCCGTGGTGACTCATGTCTGTAATCACAGTTACTAAGAAGGCCAAACTGGGAGGATGGCCAGAGCCTAGGAGTTCAAGGCTATCCTGGGCAACACAGGGAGATTCCTGTCTCTACTAAAAATAAGAAAAAATAGGCTGCAGGTAGTGGCACATGTGTGTGTGTAGTCCCAGCTACTTGGGAAGTTGAGGTGGGAGCATGGATTGAGCCAGTAATTTGAGGCTATAGTGACCTCACCACTGCACTCTAGCCTGGGAATAAGGCCAGACTCTGTATCAAATGAGGAAAAAATGTGCAAAATGTACTAATATTATCTTTGTTTGAACAGATAAGAGGGGAAAAACCTGGACAGGTTATGTGGTTACAGTGGTGGATGCTGATTGAATCCAAAGGTTTTTATGCTAGAAATCTTACTCTTAATTATATAGTTATCTTACTATTTCACAGGTCATATAAATAATATTATATAAATCCAGATATTATTCAAATAGGTAATAGAGAATGATGTATAATTATAAATAAATTTATATATAAACATAAAATATAAACATATATAGTAGAAATGATAGAGCAAAATGTCTAACATGTAACCAGTGCCCTGTAAATATCCATTGCTCTTTCATGTCCTCCTTTTGTGTGCATATGTGTGAGTGTCCACATTTCCTCTTCTTCTAAAGATGCAGGCATACTGGGTTAGGACCCATCCTGTAGGGCCCTATCATTCTGATTTCCACACCCTCATGTCCATGCCCTTCTCACATGCAAAATATATGCAATACACCCCATCTCAGAAGCCCAAAAGTCCTAGCCCATTGCAGCATCAAATCAAAGTGCAAAATCTCATGTAAAATAGCTCCTAACTCTCACCAAGACATGAGTAAGATTTGTGGTATGATGCACTCTGAGGCAAAATTCTTTTCTAGCTACCAAACTATAAATTCAGTCATGTTACCTGCTTTCAAAATGCAATTGTGGGACAGGCAGAGGATAGATCTTCTCATTCCAAAAGAGAGAAATTTGATAGAAGAAGTAGGTCATGGGTCCCCAGCAATCCAAAACCCAGCAGGGTTCTATGGGATGTTCCATTAGATGTTAGGGATCAAAACTGTTCTTCTTGGTTTCAGTCTTGGCCAACTGGGACAGCAGAGACCCTGACCTACTCAAGGCCCTTTGATACTATGGGAGCATTTGATTATTTTCTTCCATTTATCACCCTCCCAGATACATTTGAAGTGTAGGATTTTAGAAAAATGGATTTGTAAGCTCCATGCATAAGACAGTTCCATTTTTCTTGAGCCCAAGGGTAGGGACATGGGTAAGGTTTAATCACAGGGAACCTTACAATGTCTGATAGCAAAGTCTCTCCTCTCTCCTTTTTCTAGATGCCTTCATTCATTTCCTTGTTAAAAACAGTTCTTTACACTAATTGCCCAGTGAGGTAACCCCATGTGAACACCCCAATTCCATCGTCCTTCCTCAGGTCAAGCCTGGCAGAAGTAGCTAATTAACCCAGTCACTGTTTGTAGAATGGACACCCTCCCATGTCAAATTTGGAAGAAATGATTTCTCATCACTCAGATGGAACAATTTTCTCTAAGTGCCTGTAGGCCACATCAACACCATGATAAGAGACCCCCTGATGAGGGGACAGGAGAAATGCTCTGGGGGATGAGCAATTGCAGTTGACACAGTCAAACACTCCTTCATATCAGCTGTTAGCACCTGCTGTAAGCACAAGAAAGCCCTCCATGTATTCAGGGACATTTTGAAACTGGAGCATTTTCTCTTACCTTTTCTCATAAGTGGGTTTGTGTGAACTAAATACTGAGATTTCATCATGGAGAAATTGGACATCTTGTTTTCTTTCATCACCTCAAAGGAGCTATTCTTGAGGATTAGGCTGAGTTCTTCTGGCTCTACCTTCTTACCCAGGAACTGACAGATCTTCCCCGCAGTTCTCTCTGTGTCCTAAAAGAAGTAAAAACAAGAGAGAGGATGTGAGAGAGAAAGACAACAGAGAAACTAGGATGAGAAGCAGGATGAGGAGAGAGAAGAAGAAGAAAGAAACAAGACACAGGAGTGAGAAGTGATGGAGTTGGATGCAACTGGGAGAAAGCAAGAGAAATAAGTAAAGAAGAGACAGCAGGACTTATGTGAAAGATGCCAGGATCCTGATGGAATTCTCATCGGGTTGAGTTTAGGAGAACTTAGCAGTAAAAGATAGGGACTGCGGTTTCTAGGCAGACTTTGAGAACGGCTTCTGGCCAAGGATTAGAATTAAACAAGGAGAGATTTGGAGAGAACTTGATGAACATTTAAGAAATTGATTTCAAATCCTAACTGTTCCATCAAACAATACTGTTCCTCATAACTCACAATGGAATAATGGATGGAGTGTTACAAGATCTTCTCATGTATTAACTTAGTAATTAGTACTTGGTACAGGATCCTAGGAGATTATGAGAAGAAAATAGCTTTTCAGGGGAGGGAGCAAGATGGTGGCCAAGTAACAGCTTCTTTGTAACTGGGAGCAGTGAGATTAGGGAGAAAAGACTCCAGGCATCTCTGGCTTATGGGCTTTGTCCAGAAACATCCCTCTGAGGATGGAGGGAGACAGCAAAAGACTTCTGGACCCCAGGAGGAGGACAAAAGCAATGGAGAAGTGGCAAGCAACTGTAACTACAACAGCAGCAAGATTGCAGACAGGGAAGGCTTTCCCTGTGGGTTGCTTTGTTTTTCTTGACTTTAGCACTTGGCTGAACTACCTTGGGAGAACTTGGGTGAGAATGCAGGTGACTGTAAGCATTGTTCAGGGTCTGGAACTGAGCTACTGGGCCAAACAGAGCTAACATTGTTCCATTGTGGGCCACATGTGCAGCCTTTGTGGGAGAACTGCTCCTGCAGTCTCTGCCCTCAGGGTTGCAGAGAGAGGCTTGAGCTGGGAGACCTTGGGTGAGTGATCTAGTGACTGTGAGCAGCACCAAAGGCTGGGACTGAGATTCCTCTGGGGAAGAGCAGAACTTTCAGTGTTTGGCAGTGGGAGGGCAGCCTTACCGTCTTGGCCATCAAGGACATAGAGTGAGGCTGGTTTTGGCATACTAAATAAGCAGGCAGCCCCTTCAGGAGAGATCCAGCAACAAGGGTTTTCTTAGGAAAGCTCCTGCTTAGCCAAGGTTAATGATTTAACATGTCTTTTAGGCAGGCCGAGGAGAGATTCAGGTTCTTAATCCTGAAGAGTTTGAGAACAAAGAAGCTAGCAGAGGCCTTCAATCTCATTTCATACAGTTGTATCAGCATTGTGATTAGTATCTCATACCCCAGAAGATAACCAGTTGCCCAGACAATATTCAGCAAGATATATATACTGCTTTGGTTTTGGTTTTGGTGGGTTTTTTATTTGTTTGTTTGTTTTTATTTTAAAAATTTTACCTAGATTTTTCTTTTTTTTCTTTTCTTTCTCCATTGCTCTAGGTTAAATATAATTTTCCACTGTTTTCTTCTTTAATAATAAGAACTTCATTTTTGCTACTGTTTCTGCTTCTATTATTTGGTTCCCCCCCAATTTTATCCTGTAAAGTTTTCTGTTTGTTTGTTTTCACTTGATTAATAGTATTTTTGTCTTTCATCTCTATTTGGTGGAGGTGGAGTACCATATCTGCTCAGACTGGCAAAGAGCTGCTGAACTCAAGGGAACCATCCAATCCAGCACCCCCAGAGGTTGGGGTTTTCTAAAGTGTGGGTCAAAGTACCCTACTGTGCATCTTTATTACTCCTGTCCCCCTCTTTCTGTGCCTCTCTTATTTTTGTCAGTATTCCCATTTACTCACCTACCCCCCTTTCTCTTTTTTCTTTTTTTTTTTTAATCTTTTCTCCCTTCTTACTCTTCAAGCTTCTCATCCTTTTAGTCCTATACCAAAATGACTCATCAAAACCTTAGGCCAGAAGCATGGTAACTTAAAGAGCAAGAGGAAGTGAAAAGAAAATTAGGACAAGGAAACAGATGAAAGTAAACCATGAGGTTTCTTTTCTGCTGATTCTTCCTCATGGAAGAATCCTGGCAACATGAAAAACTAATCCATAGCAACCCCTCCCCCAAAGGACCATGAGGGAGCTACTGCAGAGGGTTCCACCTATAAAGAAATATTAGAAATGACAGAAAGGTAATTTAAAATACAGATGATGAAAACCATGAAAGAAATTGCTGAGAAAGTACAAAATAACCACAAGGAAATCCAAAAACAGAATCAAATGAGAGATGAACAATATGAAGAATATAGAAATGATATAGCACATCTAAAGGAACTGAACCAGTCAACTTGGGAACTTAAAGATGCAATAGAAAGTATCAACAACAGATTAGACCATGCAAAAATAGAATGCCAGAGGTAGAGGGCAAAGCTCTTGAGATAACTTAGATAGTTAGAGGCAGAAAAAAAGAGAAAGCAGAATGTTCACTGACAGAATTATGGGACCTTATGAAGCATTCAAACATATGAGTTATAGGTATCCCAGAAGGGGAAGAAGAATGCCCCAGAGGAATAGAAGCCATACTAGAGAATATTATAAATGAAAATTCCCTAATATCACCAAAGATTCTGACACAGTCCTTTCAGAGGGATATTGGACCCCAGGTTGTCTCAATTCTGACTGAGCTTCCCCAAGATATTGTGATGAACCTGTCCAAAGTCAAGACAAAAGAAAAAAATTTGCAAGCTGCCAGAAGTAAGTGCCAGTTGACTTACAGGGTAAAATCCATCAGGGTAACTGCAGACTTCTCTAATGAAACTTCTCAAGCCAGAAAACAATGGGCATCTACCTTTAATATACTTAAACAGAACAATTTCCAGCCCAGAATTCTATATCCCATGAAGTTAAGCTTTAAAATTGATGGAGAAATCAAATCTTTTACTGATAAGCAAATATTGAGAAAATTTGCCACAAGAAGAGTAGCTCTACAGGAAATATTTCAACCTGTTCTACACACTGACCATCACAATGGACTACCAGCAAAGTAACCATCCAGAAATTAAAGGACAGAACCTAGCTTCCAAAATGATGCAAAAGATAAAACTAAGCAATCGGCTTTCACAAAATAAGATGAATAGAACACTACCACACTTATCAATTATCGCAGTAAATGTTAATGGCTTGAATTCCCCACTGAAGAGGCATAGACTGGGTGATTGGACTAAAAAATATAAGCCATTGGGTGGCATCTGTGGCTCAAAAAATTAGGGCATTGGCCCCATATACCAGGGGTGATGGGTTCAAACCTGGTCCCAGCCAAAAACAAAAACAAACACACAAAAAAACACAAGCCATCCACCTGCAGTCTGCAGGAAGCACACCTAGCCTCAAAACACAAATTAAAACTCAGAGTTAAGGGTTCGAAGACAATTTTTCAGACAAACAGAATTCAGAAGAAAAGAGAGGCTGCAATCTTATTTTCAGATACAAGTGGATTTAAGGCAACTAAAGTAAAAAAAGACAAAGATGGACAAGGGAAAGATCAGTCAAGGGAAAAATACAACAAGAAGACATTTCAATTCTAAATATTTATGCACCCAACTTAAATGCTCCCAGATTCTTAAAATGAACCTTAATTAGTCTGAATAATATGATATCCTATAACACCATAATAACAGGGGATTTTCACACTCCTCTTACAGAGCTGGACAGACTCTCTAAACAAAAATTAAACAAAGATATAAGGGATTTAAATGAGACCCGAGAACAACTGTGCTTGATAGACGCACATACAACACTCTATCTCAAAGATAAAGAATATACATTCTTCTCATCAGCCCATGGAACATTCTCCAAAATTGATCATGTCCTAGGACACAAAACAAACCTCAAAAGAATCAAAAGAACTGAAATATTGCTTTATATCTTCTCAAACCACAAGGCATTAAAGATAGAACTCAACTCCAACAAAAATGTTCAACCCCACACAAAGACGTGGAAATTAAACAACCTTATGCTGAATGACAGTTGGGTGCAGAAAGAAATAAAAGAGGAAATCATTAACTTCCTTGAGCATAACAACAATGAAGACACAAGCTAACAAAACCTGTGTGATACAGGAAAAGCAGTTCTGAGAGAAAAATTTATCACTTTAGATGCTTACATCAGACAAGTAGAAAGACAGTGCATCAAGAAACTCACAAGCCAGCTTATGGAATTGGAAAAAGAGGAACAATCTAAGCCTAAACTCAGCAGAAGAAAAGAAATATCCAAACTTAAATCAAAGATTCATAAACTTGAAAACAAAAGAATCATTCAGAAAATTAATGAAACACTCTTAGAGGTGATCAAGGAATACAGCAGCATCTCAGGTTACAAAATCAGCACTCATAAATCAGTAGCCTTCATATATACCAACAACAGTCAAGCTAAAAAAATAGTCAAGAACTCTATTCCATTTACAGAAGTGCCAAAGAAAATGAAATATCTGGGAGTTTACCTAACAAAGGATGTGAAAGACCTCTATAAAGATAACTATGAAACTCTAAGAAAAGGAATAGCTGAAAATGTTACAAATGGAAAAACAAACCATACTCATGGCTGGGAAGGATTAACATTGTTAAAATGTCCATACTTCCCAAAGCAATATATAATTTTAATGCAATCCCTATTAAAGCCCCACTGTCATACTTCAAAGATCTTGAAAATATAATACTTCATTTTATATGGAATCAGAAAAAAACTCAAATAACCAAGACATTACTCAGAAATAAAAACAAAGCAGGAGGAATCACG